TCCAGATTTGCCAGGTTGTTAAGATATGGGCATATCTGTTCTTAGTAGATGGAAGACACTAAAGGAGCAGTTTAGAGAGTGAGAAGGCAGCTTTGGGGTTTTTGTAGTCGTGAAGGGGTTGCCACTGGTGCCCTGGGAGGCCTGCCTACCCTTGCTCTGCAGCCCCGGAAGAGACCTGGGCTCCGGGACCCCTGGCGGACGAAAGGAAGGGACAGGAGGCATTTATGAAGGAGCTGACTGATGAGGGGCACTTGCAGAGGGAGGAGAAAGACATGGAATGGAACAGAGGAGAAGAAACCGGAGATGCTGAGACCCTGGGGGAAGAGATGACATGGGTAGGGGGAGGCCATCAAGGCCTAGAACTCTTCAGTGTTGCGCCTCAGGAGAGGTGGAAAGCTACTGGGAGGAGGCATCCCAAGGGAAAACTTCTGAACCCCACCCGTTAAGCAGAGGAAGAGGAGACCGACGAAGGGCTGCCCTACCAGGATTACTGGTGCCCACAGCGCTGCCATCACAACCTTCGTGCCTGCGTCATCCAATTAGAGCAGCCGTGCTCACTCTGGCTCAGTCATGGCACCAATGACGGGAGCACCAGCAGGAGAAACAGAGGGGCCTCCAGGAGGAGCAAAGGAGTGTCCCCTGCCCAGTTCTACCAGCTGTCACTGAAAGGACTCTGACCAGGCCCAGGACTCAACCTGTCCTCTGGCTTTGCAAGGATGGGACTCTTGGGGCCTCCTGTGGCATTATCCGGGGCCTCTCTTGCAAGGATATCCCCTGGAGGATCCATGCAAGGAACTCACAAAGGAAGTTAAGGTCAGTGAGGGGGGACCCAGTGGCAACCGCAGTAGTCTACATTTAGCTGTTGCAAATGAATATGTGAGTGTACAAGCACATGCAGGTGTAGGTATGTGAGAGATCTGCTGTCTCCTTACAGTTGTCCCACAGCAAAAGGATGCCATCAAGTTACATATTAGTAAATTACACTTTATTGTGTTCTGGAGAGGCAGGTGATATAGCATGAAAAGCACCACTGTAGATGTGAGATATATAATTAAGCCACTGGATGTAACCATGTCAAGCTTGTTAAATCACTCCATTGTTATGTATACACAGTTTGGTAAAAATTTAGATTGCTCGCCACCAAATGGAGCTTCTAATTGAGCATTGATTCTTTACTATTACGATGACCAACTGATACTCTTGTTTCAATAGTTATTCTGATACTGTACATTGTTTCAGTAGTTACTTAGTGGATGAGCAGATTGCTGCTGTAAAAATATATATGAAAAAGCAATGTACCTACAGTTTCAAATACATAAAATTAAACCACAAAAATACAGAAGAAACCCTGCTATGACCCTTCTTCATTATATGGGGTATCTAACTGACAAGGAAACACACAGCCTGTTCTGCCTGATTTTTGCATTGAAGCAGCATCCTAAGAATTATCTGACCAGGACATGGAGTTGCATGCGATCTGTGTTTGCTTCTTTATTCTTCAAGTGACCAGCTTGGTTCCTGCTTCCATCAGCAGAGATATGGCCATTCCTCAGCCCGAGGAAGCTGCCGCAATGTAGTCCCTATAGCAGTTTGGGGAACAGGCGCGAAAGAGATAAGGAAGCCTAAGCCCATAGTTGTTCTTATAAATGTAGATGAAACGAAGGCCTTTTCCGTACAACAGTCCCGTGCAGCAATCACAGACGGTGGAGCTAGGATGTGGAGAAAGAAGAGTTATGTGAGTTTCTGGTCCTGAAAATGAGAGGAGGAATGTAACATGTGCCTGAAATTGTTGGAGGACTCTGCCTTCCGTGGATCTACGCTGTAAAGCAGTTTGGTTTCATTTCCCCATATGGCAGTGGTTGCAAACTTAAGAGTGACCCAGGTGTTCTTGAACTACAGTTCCCAGAAACCCCAGCCAGCACTGCTGGTGGCAAAGGCTTCTGGGAATTTCACTTCAATAACACCAGCTGGGTTATCGAAGGTTGGGAACCTGAAGAAGCAAGAAAAAAGTGGAGACACTCCCTAGAGAGTTTGTGGCAGCTGTTAAGATTTGAAGCGACCATTTACCAGCACCCACACTTTGGGTCAAATGAGCTCATTACAGTCAGGGCTTTATTAGAAACCATAACTGTTTATTCTCGTTTGAACACTTCTTAGTTTCACATGTTGCAAATTAGATTCCTTTTGTTCTTGCAATGGACGTTGGGACATACGGGCAGCTTCGTTTGGACATTTGATTATTCATTGAAGGAACAATGTCCCTGGATTGAAAATGTGCTCTCAGCATCTGAATGCGAAGATGGCACCTTATCTAGGTTGACCCAAAGTTACAACTGCAGGGGGTCACACACCCCAGGGTTGAGGAAAACACCCATGTACCTCAACATAATCTTGCTGGTGAAAGGTGGGGAGTTGGCAGAGAATAATCACTGACAACATCTATTAGTTTTACCGTATTTATTTAGTTGGAACCAAAGCTCCAAGACCATGAAATCTAGACACCTTAAACATGCTGTGCATACTTTGGGGTTGTGTGTGTGCATGCGTGTGTGTGTGTGTGTGTGTTTTAAAAAGGAATTTTGCAATACCATCCCCAATCAGTACCCTGTTTCCCTGAAAATAAGCCCTAATCTGAAAATAAGCCCTAGTATGATTTTTCAGGATGCTCATAATATAAGCCCTATCCCCAAAATAAGCCCCAGTTGAGTTAAACCCCGTCTTCCATCATTGTGCAGCAACCAGAAGATGACATGTGTTTGAATAAATGTAGATTGCTGTACATGAAAAAAAATAAAACATCCCCTGAAAATAAACCCTAATGCTTTATTTGGAGCAAAAATTAATATAAGACCCTGTCTTATTTTCGGGGAAAAACAGTTAATTTTCGGGGGGAAACAGCAGACCTACCTCACCACCAGTGCACTGCTTTACACACTGAAGCCAGGGGAAGTAATTAAAAGAACAAAGACATGGGATTTCTCCAGCTTATGAGAAGGGAGTGAGCAGACCCTTCTCAAAGGGAGCTGTCGGGGCTGCAGCATGGCACTGACCTAGCAGCTGTGGCTTTATTCTGATAGTGTGGGCACAATGTCAATAAATTTGACAGCAGCATAACATTGTTTGAAGTGTTCAGCGTATCAAACTAAACACAGGTTGCTACTCCACTCTACGCAAGGCATTTTGGATAGTATGTACAAATGCCAATCAGTACAACAGAACAGAGTAACAATGAAAACATTTTTAAAATTTAGAAGATTTTTTTCCCCGCTAGAGGGCACAAGGGAGCTTGATTATTCTACTCCCCAATTTTTGTAGGAAAAAAAATTGGGGAGTAGAAGTTGTGGGGGGGGCAACCCATCAAGGTCTAGGGACGGGCATGTGAAACCCTGAGGCCTTTGTTTGTTGCCCTGCCCTGAGGTAAGATTTTCAAGGCCAATTAAAGCACCATTGCTCGAGAGGACTCTCTTGTTCACGTGATTACTGGAAAAAAATGTGTGTTGCACTGAATGGCTCTCTGGCAGTCTGTGGCAACAAGGGAGGTTTCCGTCCTCCTCCTGCTTCTTTATGTTGCTCTTCTAATGGCTGCCTTTCGACTTTTGATGTGGCCACTGTAAACAACGCTCCTGTTTGGATCGAAACAAGTTTCTTGTTGTCATGGGCCAATAAAATCTTCCTCCTGCACACCTATTCCATTTACAGTATTTTACAAGTTTCTTGTTGTCATGGGCCAATAAAATCTTCCTCCTGCACCCCTATTCCATTTACAGTATTTTAATTCAAATTACACCCCCCCCCCCGAGTCTACTTACTTGCACAAAATCTCTTGGATGTCTGCTGGGATCTCATGATAGATTTCCCACAGACTGTGCTTGGCAAAGCAATGAGCCGCCATGTCAGTGAGTCGTTGAGGCTCAAGCTTGCAGATGTCGTTCCAGAAGTAGGGGTGTAAGAAGTTATTTTCCACCTTGAGGCAGCTCAGTTGAAGCTTCAAAACCCCACAAGGCAACACGTAGAGTAGATTCCCTTCTAGACTGAGATAAGTCAGTTTACTGAAAGTTTACAGACAAAAAGACACTCTAATGGTCCTCTGGCCATGTTTTGGACATCACAGATAATTTGCATTTACTTGACTGGGGAGGGGAGAAATTGTGTGGGGAACGTGGCCTATGTGGGCAGTGGAAGCCTCCAGTGTGGCCTACATTGCTGCCCAAGTGTTGTGGCCACCATTCCATTTTTTTCCTTCTGGCCACTTAGCTGAGAAGCAGGAACACAGTTGTGAAGTGGGAGGTGCAAAGAGAAAGCTTTTCCTATTTGCTGCCTACTTCCACCACCACCCCAGCTCAAGCTGAAAAACAGCACTTTGCAGGCTATGTGGAAGGGGGTTGTTTGGCCATTGTAGAAGAATGAATGTACTTATTATTTTAATGCTCACCAACAGAAGCACTGTGCTGAAGTAGCACACACCATGTGTGTAAAATATACTAGCACACCACTAAGCAGATATGGCATCTACTGGAAAAAATATTTGCAGACATTTTTATGGTTGCATCATTCTACATGTTGTCAATTAGCCTACTTTTTAATCTTGTGATTGGTCCCTGGGAGTGAAAACACAAGCTTCTTTTGCATGTCAGACTGGTTGGGTGGAGTACTTTGAAGCATTGTTGTGCCTGGAGGCAAAATATTATAATAATTGGAAATATGAATGTCCCTTAATATGTAAGGAGATGGAGTAGGAATGGGCATAGGAGACTGTCTGTGTGCATCTGCACATGTGGCCTTTAGCCCAGTTTTCCTGGCCATTTGTGGCTATTGCGGTGGGAGTAAACTGTCTATCCCAGCCTATCTCAATATGCAACTATTGACTATATTTTAAAAGGTGATGTGGTCCCTAAGGTGCTTCAAACAAGAGTATAAGCTGTTGGAGAAGTAGAGCTATAAAGGTCGAGATCTTTTTTTGTTTGCCAGTGTTCTGGAGATCCTCTTGTGGAGGGTACGTTGAAGTGTTCACCGCCCACCTCAACAGAATAACTAGCTGATACACAGCGGGGCAAGGGAGCAGAGTTGAAATACGCTAAAATAGACAAACTTCTACAGTACCTGAGATTTCCAATCTCATTAGGAATGCTTTCAAATTCATTATAGGAAATATCAAGACCCTCAAGATTTGTCAATGTGAACAGCCTATGGAAAGAGAAAGGAAATACACATCACATCAAAAGGTTACAAAAACTGAGCATATTAAGCACAATTTCAGCTTCCAATGTACACTGTAGGTACACCATTGTATAACTCAGACCCCAGGGGATTTCAGTTCACAAGAACACTATACATAAAGAGTATTGCTTTGAGTCCCTTAATCTGGAACTATGAAAAAAAACTTGCTTATTTTGTGCCAAATGGAATACAGTTGCCTGGACCAAGCAGGTTTAAATAAGCAGAGACCAAAAAAAAAAACAACAGAAAATAGAAATCACATTTAGAAAGTAAAAGGCTGTGGCATCTTAAAGACTAAGCAATTTATTGTCACATAAACATATGTGAATTAAAGTTATTTTGTCATAGGCATACACAATAATAAAAGTATTAGAGTGTAGTACAGTACACTTTACCCCGTATCTTTAGCCAGAATTGGCACAGTTAAGTTCAATGTACTTTCCATCAATTACATGATGCACAGCTAACTGTGAGTAAGCCCAAACTTTTTTTTTCATGGCTGTTCATTGCTTTTTGTTCAGCAGGCAGAGCCTAGTGATTTTTTGGGGGAGTCATTCCACATGCATCTGTCCCCCCACCCTGACTCCATTTTCTGGTATGTGTGATCATCTCTAAATCATTCCAAAGAGGCAGTGGCAGATGTATCCTAGAGTGATGTTGAGGGAGGACCATCTTTTTTAAAAAAAAAAAGATTGCAAGTGACGTAGCCCTGCGTTGAAATAACAGCTTGTGAAGCATTTATCTGATATAGTAATATTAATAATTAAAACATTGTTTGGAGGACAGACAAGAGGCCCACACTTGAGAGGCGTGTTCCCGTTGTACTAACATACTGTGCCGTGTTGAAAGGTATGCCAGTTAAGTGCCTTTTGTCTCTCCACCAAATACAGTAAAGTATTTTTAAAATTATGCATTTTCAATTTAATGCTATGTCAGATAAGGACTGCAGTTTCACATGTTGCTATAGCAATTCAGCACTATGTCATCTGCCTTCCCCCCACCCAAAAAAAGGGCAGGGGTAATGACAGAGGGTGGGCAACCTTCGATTTCAGTAAGAATTGTCACAATTTGAAATGTGTGATTCCTGCCAGGAAAATTGACTGGCACAATTAAATATGCAATATGAATGACAACAGTGACTTAACTGCCATGGGAAACTTTGGACTGACCCAAATCAACTTGAGACAGCTTGGTTGCCTAGTCATGTCCTTAGTCTGTCAGAAAATGGTTCACAGCCTTTGAATTTCTGGATGTTTGGGACTTCAGCTTCCAGAGTCTCTGTCTACTGGCCATGATTGCTAGAGAATCTGGGAGCTGGTGGGTCAAATATTGAGAATTGCTTTAACATGTCACAAGGTCCCTTGGTTTTCCCCTGCAACAGACACTGCTACCCCTCTGGAGAAAAACGAGAGGGCTGGTTCATGCCAGAAAGAATTAAGCTATCATATCACCGACTTTGGAAGTAACGAGACACATGTTATGTACGTAATTATTTGCACCACTTTTTCTTTTTGGAGATGACCTATGTAACAATTATATTTCAAAAGCAATTAGTTAACATTTGTAAGCAATGGCAAAAAAGTCTCTTTTTCGGGATAAGGAACCTCATACCAAGTTAAGTAACTATTGTCCCATTCAAGACTTCCACTCAATATTTAAGGTGGGACTCTGAACCTCTCCCGAGGATCCATCTTATAATCTGAGTGTTCTTAATGCAAAAATTTAATGCTGTCTTGCACAGCACCTGATGGAATTACCTTTCTGCAACTCAGTACTCCTGAAATTCTAACTCTGGTCTCTGGTGCAGTGTCTCTTTTTTTACAATGGAGCCAATGTAGGGCAGAACTACAGTGGTGCCTCGCTTAACGGGTGCCCCGTTTAACGAATAATCCGCACACCGATGAAGATTTTGCGATTGCAAAAGCGATCGCAAAACGATGTTTTCAATGGGGAAAAATTAGAAGAGGAATTCTGTGGCTACTGTTGTAAATTACTTGGGGGCGATGTTTGGCAAACACAGGGTACATTTTTTCAATGGTGCACCAAGAAAAGGGGATGTCATCTGGTTTATATTTCAGGCAGCACATTATTTTGAGTTACCACATGTCAATCATATGGCCATGCTGGCTGGAGTCCACAAAAATAACTTTTCTAAGTTTTGCCAACACAACCAGGTCTTTAGTCTTTTCTTTCAAAAAGCAGCTGAAAGAAGACCCCCTCCTCCACAGCTCTTGACATCTTGTCCCCAACTTTCTGCCCCTTTTACTTAATCTAGTATTTAAAAGACCCCCTCCTTTACCCAGGTGGAAGAGTAGTCAGCAAATTGAAGGACATGACCAAATATTTAAGGCTCTTCATTTGGCTTATTTCTTCTGGGATGAATCTGATGGGATTGTTCCGAAGCTTTAGAATTTCTAAATGTTTAAGGCAAAACACCTGTGGGGGGCGAAGGGGGGGGTAGATGAAATAAAGTGATGCCAGTCATACTACATGCTTCAACACAAAGGTATGGAGAATTCACTGGGCAACCCTTTTGACTACAGAGATGGAGAAAGACAATTCATCCCATGTTACCTGAGGTGAGGCCTGACACCTCAAATCCTGCTGTTCTTTTAAAATCACCCTTCCATCTAGTTTGTTGCCTTCCTGGACTCCTTCTTCTGACCCAGAGTCGATGCTGATGTATTTCTTTATTCCATCGCCCAAGTTTGGACACAGGAAGGAAATGAGGGTTAGGCCAGGCCCAAGTTTTTCCTTTCCTCAGCCACCCTCTTCAGCTGAGATACAGCTGGTTTCTTTCACTATAATAGTGTCACTGATTCCAGTGACTCTACCACCTTCCATGGACGTGAGTGGAAGCCTCTGGCTCATCACAGAAAGCTATAAATTATTTTACACGGCTATTCTACTTCAAGTGGTAAACTATATTGGGTTAGTTTTTCATCTTACAGTCAAACTGTGTATTACACAGAGCTTGTAATTAGAAGAGGAAACTCCTTATGTGCTGAAATTATCTAATTGTCACAGCAGGAGCTCTTTGCACCTTCCATAGTTTGCAAATTAGGTTGCCTTCTTTTTGATATTTGTTTTCTAGACTTAAATGTCGGCTTCATTTATAAGTCTGATTTCTCATATGTGAGTGCTGGAATCATGTCTCTGAAACAATAATGTGATTTCAGCAAGAAAGATGTATTTCCTTAATGTATCATTCGGTGCCAAGAAAAAGAGAGAGGGAAAGAAGGTTTTTTACAAAAGGAGGAGAAATCCCAAAGGACATACCATTGATAAGGAAAGTGGGAGAGAAGGACAAAATTTGCTGCTCTTCTTTAGACAGCAAAGTGCCATTCTTGAAGATAGGATTAGAACCCACAGCAGCCTTATCCAGTGAGATATGCAACAGAATACATGAAGCCATACCTTCCATGTTATTTGCATATGATTTATACAAGTTAGAAGCAAACAAGTCAAATTAGGAGATGAGAAAAGAGACTTATTGTTCATGAGTTGATTCACTGGGTAATTTCTAAGCATCTAGAAAATAAATGGCTATGTCTGTTTAAAGCCACAGTCATGTTGAATCTTTTAAGTGACTTTTATAAATAGTTCAGACAGCAGATATACTCACCTCCTGAGGAAAGAAGTACAAGAAATTGAATGACAAGTTAAGGTACAACAAAAAGTCAGCCAGAGGTGAGAGGTCTGGAAGTCGAGTCAGGAAAAAAGCCTACAGATAAGCGAGCAATATATACATTAGATTCATATTTCTAATAAGCATCCTGCAAAGGATAAGTGGATTTGCAAAGATGAGATCTTGAACATTTGTGTACAGAAGATGCATCACCAGAAGATCCTGCGATGTAAATCTGTTGCAGCCATCCAGAATTCTGTGCTGGTGATTCCATCACACTCAATATCAACAACCTCTTTAGTTAAAAAAATGGCAATGGTAACATCCTGCTTTCTTTTGCCCGATTCCCCCGCTTTTCCTTCTCTCTGTCTGAGGCAATATGCATCCCATCTCACCAATGGAATCCATGGAGATTTTTTTTTGTCTTGGCCTCTAGACAGGGGAGGGGGGAAACTTAGGAAAATGAGCCCTCCTAAGTTGTAGAGGGAATCTTAAGCTTCCCTTTCCCCATGCAGCGCCCCCAACTAGGGACCCAAAAATTCTCCTGTCAGACAAAAAGCAGGGGCTTCATCATAGGTATAGTGTACTGTGTGGAGTGTATCACAAAAAGAAAACAATTTTTTAAAAAGAAATATTTTGGTACCTTAAAGAGTAACAGGTTCATTTCAATGATTTAATTCATTTAACAATTTCTTATCAAATGCCCCCTGACTTTCTTACCCAGCCAGCCAGCCAGCCAGCCAGCCAGCCAGCCAGCCAGCCAAATCAATCAATCAATCAATCAATCAATCAATCAATCAATCAATCAATCAATCAATCAATCAATCAATCAATCAATCAATCAATCAATCAATCAATCAATCACTACCTCTGTATTTTGGTGCCACGTATAAATATTTGCCATGGTCTCTCTCTCTTATGTCTGAGGAAGTGGACTTGTCCACGAAAGCTCACATTAAAATATAGCATTGAGTCTTTAAGGTGCCACCACATTTTTGTCTTTTTTATTTGTTCTTTTGTTTTTGTTTTGTTTTTACCTACAAGGTTCATTTCCGTATGAGCTTTCATGGATTACAATCCACTTCCTCAAACACATGAAATGAAATATTTACCCACAGGTTTGTATACGGGTATCACAATTTGCAGTACTGGGAACAGAGATTGCACTTGCCATACCATCTGAGGAATAATTCCCATCTACCCGTCAAATTCATGCTGGAATTAGCTTGTGGAAATAAGGAGTTCACAGATCACCCCTGTTTGGTACAGGATGCATTCCAGCAGAGCAGCAGGTTATGTGTTGTGTTAGAGATCGCTTTTGAGACCAGAAGATGTACATGGTCCTAACCCCATAATGACACAGTGTCTCTCCACACACTTGGAGATTTATGTAAATATACCTTCTTTCTCTGACCAATTGGAATTCACAAATACAGTTAAATCTGTTAATTGATGGATCTTTGTAGATAAGAGCCCTTGTGGTACACTGGGTAGTGTTAGATTTTGAGCACAGAGACCTGGTTCAACCTCCCACTTGATTATAAAGATTCCAGTAAGTTTTGCAGTTACTTCAGTCAGTGGTTGTGTGGATAAAATGGAAGTGCTATTGTAGTCCACAGTGTGGGCCTTGGAGGGAGGAGAAAACGTGTTAAAATTAAAGTTTGACCTAATAGAAGCTAAGTTGTTTACTAGTGTAACAACAAATTGTGAAGAGCAACAAATGTACACATTGAGGGAAATTACCTTAAGACTCAGTCCAGTTTTTTCATGCATTAGACAGCCAAGAACTGCCGTCTCAGCCTTTGCCATTAACTGACTCTCCTCATCCTCCGAACGCAATTTAGGCTTGTATGCAGTGCCAGAGACAATGGATGCAGAAAAATCCAAGTCGTGCCCTGATTCTGAAGTAAACATAACACAGGTTGTTAAGCAAAGAGGGTTGTAGCACCTCTTCAAAATATCACCAGAAGCAAACAGCGATATAAAATCAAATCTGTGTGATATAACCAGCTTGAGAGAACATAGCAATGGAGGGCCAATGTGGTGTAGAATGTTTGAGACAGGAGATGATTCTAGTCTCTCCTGAGCCATAAAATTCACCAGGCGACCTTAGGTCTGTCACTCTCTCACACCCTGACTGTGCCTCAGGCTGAGAGAGAGTGATGTGAAGGTAGAGTGGAGAGAAGAAGAGCTGAGCATGCCATCGGGAGCTTACTAAAGAAAAGTGAGTTACAAATGTAAAAAACAAACCAACAAGGAGACAGCAGGTGCTCATTATAAATGTCTTCCAGTGTCCCTTTCCTCAGTTTCTGGATACAGTGGCCAAAATCCTGTTGTTCAGCATAGTAAATCACACCAGAGTCAGTCCACTGTATCAGTGGGGACTTGGTGTGTCAACTCCTCTATAAGTTCCATCAATTCAAATGGACCCAACTCTAGTTGCAACCTACTGTAAAGTAAGTTGTGTGTTTGATGGCATATGAAAGGGGACTTAATCTGGATTCTGCTCATTTGGGCTTACTCCTGTGTTTTCAATCCTCCTTTGGAGCTACTCATGTTTTAAGAACTCTCGCCTTCTGCTCCCTGCTGATAATTTGCCCACATTCTTCTTTGACTGTATCTTTGGCAATTGCGAGAAGAATCCCTTCATGTGTGTATCTCTACTCTTCCACATGGGTTCTCCTGAATTGAGATGGATTCCCTCCATGTGTAGGGTCTCCATCCACAAGTATCAGTACGTTTCAGAAGGCCCTTGTCATTCTTGTTGGATGTGTGGAGGCAAGGAGAATGTCTAAAAGGCAAAGAGTAGGGCTTCTCTGTGATGTCTACTTTCACACATGAAAGGGGTTTGTCTGATTTTTTTCATGGCTCTAAGACCTCCAAAATATTGAATATTTGTAGAAGATTTGTGATGTTTGTCTAGTTCATTATAAGTGGGGTTCATCCTCTAAGCAAAACATTCTCTCTCACGTAAGAAAAAAATTAAGATTCTTCAGGCACCTTTTGGACTAATGGGTTTATTACACCGTCAGCTTTCATGGACCCATTTGACTTCAACAGCTTCAACCTATATTACTGTACTTAAGAATATGGCATGGTACCTATCTAAAATTTAGTGTCTTTGTTTGATAGCAAGCTAGACACGGAACATATAAGGCTGTGTTGTTTGTATACACTATGAAATGTTGGGTTTTGACCTAATGAATTGCCACAGTGTTTAAAAACAGATAAAGAAATCTGGCTTTTCTTCATTATTGTCTACTGCTTATCACAGATTTACTTAGCATATTGTTGTTGTTGTTGTTTTAATGTATATACCACTCCATTGTGCTAGAGCACTCTCTGGGCAGTTTTTATATAATTAAGCAAGCAACATTTTGCCCTTTAGAAGGCTGTTTACTCATTTTACCCACCTTGGAATATATGTGTATCTGTACTATGTCAAACCTTTTTCATGAAATGTAATGGATGGCTATTACAACACACTTTCTGTACATGAGTGGTTTCTACCTGGTGCATAGGTCACTCTTTTCTTTTTTTTCTCCTTCTGTTCCCCAACCAGGAAGCTCTTCCTCCGACCCAGGACGCCCTGCTCCTCATCCTCACCCAGGACACTCTCCTCCTCACCAAAGAGTATCTTCTGCTCCAGCATCTTTTCTGAAAAATATGAGGCAAATTACGCTGGCTTTTTTCATAAGAGAAAGACATATTTGTTTAATTTTTAAAAAATTTTCTTTATTTCCATCCAGGCTTTTCCCAAAAAAGGGGTCCAAGATGGTTAATAAATTACCAGAAGACACATACAGCTAAAATCAAGAAGTGGTTGTATTGAAATGTGATTAAACATACAGCAATGTTAGAAATGCTATCTTCTCCCCTTGAAACAGCAAGCTAGAGTGCCTACCTGCAAATAATAAGCCAACAAATGCCCCAGTCTACCAAAGTGATGCCAGCGGGTAAATATGGGAGACCTATGTTCAGATCCCTACCCATAGCTGAATTTTACTTCTGGTGGCCATGAACCAGTATTTCTCTCAAGGACCTATGCATGCTTTCATAAGCTCTTGGGAGGAAGACCGATAGAAACATACCATAAATATGTGAATAAAAACTACCATATTTTTGTGTCAAAATCAAAACTGGGGTGGGGTGGCAGGCAAGCAGGGGTTGAAAGATAAAGGTTCTAAGGAAGATAATAGGTGCTAGGTAGAGGAATCAGGTATTCTGAGTCTCCAATAAATACAGTATGTGAATAAAAACTACCATATTTTTATGTCAAAATCAAAACTGGGGTGGGGTGGGCAGGCAAGCAGGGGTTGTAAGATAAAGGTTCTAAGGAAGATAATAGGTGCTAGGTAGAGGAATCAGGTATTCTGAGTCTCCCAAACCACCCATGTCTTTTGTCTCTGTATACTTTCAAACTGAGGGTACAGTTACACATCAAAATACTCCTGGGTTTCTGTCAGGTTTAGCACACCTGAAATCCATTTAAAAATATCAGTTTACATGGCATACAGCTAAGTGTGCATTATTCTGGCCGGGAAGTGTGTTTTTGGTTCAGTAAACAATTTTTTTTTTAAATAACTGCTAGGGGCTTGCTTATAAATACTTTTATGTGAATGTATGTTTGAATTGTTTATGTGCACTTTTAAAAATATTATAATGTTTTTCTAACCTTCTCCTAAACTATAACCAGTCAAATTTTCAGCAGCCCAAGCCAAGGGGAGCATGAAAATGCCTTTGAAAAGGGTTTTGTTCAAGTGAATCACTATTTAAGGGAAATTGTTGAAACCAACACAGAGGCTATAATTTCCACAAAGGGGTGTGTGTGCTTGCTCCACCCTAGAATCCTAAATTTATTTACTATACTAGTATGCAAGAGAGAGACACATTGTGGACATTCTAAATTTAAAAAAAACACATTCAAACTCATGAAGCGGAATGGTACCTAAAAGCATTTGCCTCTCAGGTTTCCTCTGTCCAACATAGGGCAAGTCCTCATAGGAAAATAATAGGGTGTTGACTTGCTGTGGCCCTCTTCTTTCTTCAGCAATCAGCTGGCTCGTGAGCACCTCATAGTTACAGCGAGAAAGAATCGGCTTTTTAGCCACTGATCTGGGAAACTTTGGAGGAAGACAGGTGACTATGGTCAGACCCTGTAGCATGAAACCAGATGCAAAATCCAAGGGATGCGGTCTCAGAGCAGAAATCCGAAACCGAGAAGGTATGGGACTTTTCTGTGATGGGAATCTGGGAGGGCCACTAAATTGTGGAGGAATAGCACAGCTTCTGTTCATAAGGCCTGGAAGCTCAGTTCCCAAATCATAGTCTGGAAAACACAAATAAATCGGTTGCTGGCTCTTCACAGGTGTCAGTGGAAGGTAGGTATCATCTGTTCCAAACCTCCTGAGGAGTTCCTCATCTTCCTTAAGAGTACCTATTGAGAGTGGAATAAATATGGCAAACACAAGGAGAAAGAGAGAAGGGGCGGAGGAGAGAGAGAAGAGAGAGAGAAGCAGAATTAGACAACTCAACGTTAAAACGAATGCTTGTTGGTAGATACTTACACACTGTGGAAACAGAATACAGAACAATTCACTGGACCTTGATTGTGGAGAGTGAATTTGCAGTTGAACAAAGAGAGAGAAAGAGCAAAAGCACACAGCAGATCATAATTGATTTTTGTCGTTTGTGTGCAGGCAGAAATGGGGGTGAGTTGTGTAAGGAAGTGTCAGAGAACCACATGAGTGAGAGAGGTGCCCAAGAAAGGAGAGAAACAAAGATACAGGGATTTTTGTAGGAAAGGAATGAGCAGAGGATAGCAGATGAGAAGACCAGTTGGGGAGAAAAAGAGAGGTGGTATGGAAATGCTCAACAAATAGACTGAGGTCCGGACTGCAGATTACACGCCAATTTGCTTGAACTCATTTCATTGTTTCAGATATGATTCCAATAGAGAATTAGACAGGCAAGCAAAGCCAATGTTTATGTCCAGAAGACCAATTTGGCAAAGCAATTTGCAAACTAGAGGAGATGTGCAAAGCTTCTGTTGTCACAATCAGACACTTTCAGTACTTAATGAATTCTTGCTTCTAATTAGGTCCAGTATGCAATACGTATTTGCTGATGATAATTAAAAGAAAGAGTACTAGATGTTTAAGACTCCATCTTCTCTGAAGGAGGGAAAACTGGGTCTTGAACTCACATTGTGTCTTCCTCTTTCTTTACACTAAAATCCAGCCATCACCCTCCAAAAAAAAGTAGTGTGAACTCTTATAACAGGATAATTAATCATATCCATGTGTATGACTACAGCCATTTCAGCAGAGGAAGCTGGTGTAGAAAACTTCAAATCATCCTGAATTAATACACCCCTCTGTGTAGTCGTACCCTTAGTCTGTTGTTGCAAAAACAGCAGAGCTGTGTGGTATCAGAAGAGGTCAGGGAGAGGGTCGTTTCTAGTTTTGCTTGATCTGATAGACATTTGGCCAATAGCTTTCTGTTTCAAATGATGCTGCTGGATCTTACATTTCTACAGTTTAAGGGTACTTGCTTCCAAACAATGTTATTCTAAATGTATTGCCTTCTTGTTTTTACCCACTACTTTTTCCATCTCTTTTACACTCCATATAGAAACCTATTAAGCTAGATAGACAGAACAGCCACACAATGCCTACTGACTCATCGTGCTAGACGCTAATTATCTGGTAATGCTGTAAGCAGCAGCATCTTGTATCAGCAACGGAGCCTTTTGTAAGGCAACTGTTGCCTTACAAGAGCCAGTGTGAGGCAGTGGACAGAGTGCCAGACTAGGACTCAGGCCTGCTTGGTCACTGGGGGATGGCAGTGGTAAACCACTCCTTCAACATCTCACATACCTCAAAAACCCTATTAGGGTTGCCATACATCAAAAGCAACTTGACAGTTCATAATGACATATTTTATCGCTTTACCTACTAGCTACCATCACACAAAATGCCCCCCCCAAATTTCCCTCAAATGAATTCTGTAAACATTTTAGAACCAATGCGTAAATGACATTCATTACATGCACATGCACATACAGAATCTGATACTCCCAATTTATAAGTGATTTATTAAAAAATAACTTTGACCTTTTCTCACTACTGCTCAGAAGTCACTATACTCATCTGGGGGGAAAATAATGAGTTCTTTTGAAGCTGTATTCAAGATGGTTGCCTCGAGATTGCCAAGATCCCAGATCCACTGCTGGCAGCTACTGACATCACAAGCTGGCCCAGAACCTATACACACTTCATCTGCTATGCCTCATTTTCTCCCCTTCTAAATGTTCACATGCAGGCTGGTTTAGGCAACCAGACTCTGTTACTTCTCGGTTTCTGTAAGAATGGGAGACTGGATGGTGGTAAGGGCCCAAGAGCTGCCTTTAAACCTGAAGCTGCAACCTGTTGTTTTAAACCAACTTACTAAGAAAGATGCCCTACAGAACACAATTGGGATTACGACTCCATAAATGTCTCCAGGATTATGAGGCAGTTTAGGCTGTGAATGCTCAGCAGTCTACTGTCACTATTAGTACCAGCCCAACTCTGCATTCCATGCCAGCTTCTCATGGTTTAGGAAATTGGCATGCAATGCATTCCTTGGGACAGCTGTGAACAATTCTCCCACATTACCTTTATAGCTTTTCCTTTTAGGGGTAAGCCGTTCAGTTTCAACCTTTGGAGGTAAAGGTCTCCGTAGTAGCTTAGGTTCAGACATGGCCCTGGGTTTTAATTGTGCACTAAAAGTACAGAAAAAGAATCAACAATTATACTTTCAGATACTTTCAGATACTGAAAATTAAAATGGGTGGTGGGAGAATAGATGTGGTCTGCATGATTCAGTACTTTGGGAAAAAAGGACGATATAAAAACAAGAGCTCAGCTGTTCTAAAACTTTTATATGCAAATAATTACAGCCACCATCACCCCCAAATCATCTTCCTTCTAGAATGTACCCACACCCATACAATCCACAGTCCACCAATAACTATATGCTAAAGAAGATGAGATCCTAAACGTAGGAACAACTATCTCTCTGCAGTGTAGAGTGGGGTGAATATGATCCAATAATTATAACAAGAAATAAGTGGAGTTGTTCTTGGCTATGATCATGTGGTTCAGTGTACAGTTCAGTGCAGTGAAGGAAAAGGACACTAACATTTCTGTACAACCCGTTTCAAATCACACATTATGTCTGCTCTTGCCATGAGTTTCTGGGACATTCATTTATAATTTTTCTGCACTACTGACAGATGTATGCCTGAAGATGTGGATTTTTATTTCATGAAAGCTTGCATCCATTGTCTGATTTTTAGTGGCCTAATAAAAGCAAAGCTTGCTGCTTATATACTGCCCCATAGCGCTTCAAGCACTCTCTGGGCGGTTTACAAGTTAATTATGCAGGCTACACATTGCCCCCCCCCCCAGCAAGCTGGGTACTCATTTTACCGACCTCGGAAGGATAGAAGGCTGAGTCAACCTTGAGCCGGCTACCTGGGATTGAACCCCAGGTCATGAGCATAGTTTTGGCTGCAGTACAGGTGTCACATTCTTCTATATTTGTGTTGTAAATACAACCATGTGGCTTCCTTTTATTTTGTTTTTTTAAATTCTGGAGACGCCATGAAAAGCTGCCTCAAGCACCACTGAAGATTCTTTACATTAGTCAAGTTGGACTAGATGAACTCTTTCATCAACCAAGCAGGAGGAGAATTTGGAACAAGTGCTTACAAACTCACCAGGTAATATAATATTTTAACTAGGTGTAATTGGACTTCAATTGGCTTCTACCTGGTGAGCAAAACAAAATTTATCCCAAAATTTATCCCAGTGTTCTGGTGGAGATTGCTATGTCCATGATGGTTCCCCACCCCACCCCCACCCGTCAAGGAAACTTGTTTTCCAAAACCAGGCAATGTAAGGGAATGGGGAGGCTTATGCAGAGTGATGGGCTGCTTCTGACTGAATATTGAGCGGAAATTTCCAACCACACCACCATAGTCTGCCTACAACCAGCTTTAAACACATCATCATCATCATAGGTATCCATCATAGGTATCCTTCATAGGTATCGAGAGACTATGGTAACATGCTCTGTATGGAGGATTGCGAAGCTGGAGTGTCCTCTCCAGAGCACAAAGCCTGGGTAGGGCTGCTTCGAGTATTGAGTGGAAATTTCTAACCACACCACCATAGTCTGCCTATAACCAACTTTAAGCACACCCTAAGACATTTTGCCATGAGTTTTTGGGACATTCATTTGGAAAGGCAAGAGCCAATACAACTGGTTCCAGCGACGTCGCAGGAGTTGCCAGAACGACACAAACTGCCTCTGGGACTCCAGCTCCGGATTTTGCCTCGAGGTCTGGATTTTGCCTCAAGGCCTTTTCCATCGATGGATATAGCCACAAGGCAGTGGAGGTTTGGAATCGGAGTTTTCCTTCTCCTAGATGGGCTGCCTTCCCAAGCTAAGGAGCCCCACCTACCTGGGTGATGGCAGTAATCTAAAATAAAATAGCCCCCTGCATATGCAGCTTTAAACACACCTTAAGACATTTTGCCATGAGTTTTTGGGACATTCATTTATAATTTTCCTTCACTACTCACAAATTAAAGGTGTGTGCTCAAAGAAGCAGAGTTTTATTCCAGTTTGCATTAACTATTTGATTTTTAGAGGCCTAGTAAAAGCATCACATTCTTCTACGTTTGTATTGTGTAATGGTCACAAGGCGTCCTTTGGAGTTTTAGGTCAACAACATATTTCCTCCTTTTACAATATTATCCCCCAGGCACGGAAATATTTAGGGTCAATGTGCCTGAGAAGTTAAGCATGAAAACAAATCCCTGTTTTGTGACCAGTTACAAAATGTAAGCACGTTAATCTCCTAATGTGGATCGAGACAAGTTTATGTTAGACCTAGATGGGCTGCCTTCCCAAGCTAAGGAGCCCCACCTACCTGGGTGATGGCAGTAATCTAAAATAAAATAGCCCCCTGCATATGCAGCTTTAAACACACCTTAAGACATTTTGCCATGAGTTTTTGGGACATTCATTTATAATTTTCCTTCGCTACTCGCAAATTACAGGTGTGTGATCAAAGAAGCAGAGTTTGATTCCACAAAAGTTTGCATTAACTATTTAATTTTTATAGACCTAGTAAAAGCATCACATTCTTCTACGTTTGTATTGTGTAATGGTCACAAGGCTTCCTTTGGAGTTTTAGGTCAACAACATATTTCCTCCTTTTACAATGTTATCCCCCAGGCACGGAAATATTTAGGGTCAATGTGCCTGAGAAGTTAAGCATGAAAACAAATCCCTGTTTTGTGACCAGTTACAAAATGTAAGCACGTTAATCTCCTAATGTGGATCGAGACAAGTTTATGTTAGAATAAACAGGCATTATTTTCCCCTTAAGGATTGTCTACTTCTAATGATGAATTAAGTGTGTTACCTAGTTCAGCCCTCAGAAAGGACAGCAAAATTTAAAATTGTTTTGTTTGCCTGGATGTAGTAATATGCAGGTCATGATTGTAGCAGGAGGATCTTATGTCCAAATTGAGCTTTCATGCTCCACTTCGTCCCCAAGCTGTTGCTGAATGTGGTGAAGAGGCAAATTTAGTTGACTCATGGAGACAATTAAAAGGTGATACGTGACTTGAACCACATTCAAGAACTAGTGGTTACAGTATATTTCTTTAAAAGTCAAGATGTAATAGAAAGTAAGGAATCATCCTTGTTTCACAGTCTGATAATGACCTATTTATACACACAATCTGACTGGGAAAGAAAAGAACTGAGAAGGAAAAGTTTGTACCTAAATGATTCAATTTTCAGCATTGGAAATTAAATAATCCAGCAGAATAAACCACATGCCTTCTTCAAGAAAAATGGGTGTTGTTTATTTTGACCTGGTAAATAAATGTTTTGTGAGACATTTCAGAATCCAGTGAATTCACTCTCATATAAGATGATATATTTTTTTGGCAGAAGAAATTGTGTTACAAAATAAATCCAAAGAAAATGGGTGTCTTGTGTATCCAAGTCTTGAACAAAAAAAGGCTACAGAACAAATGCATAAGCCAAATATGTATTTTCCTGATGTAACTGGACCAAATTAATCACTTAACTTGGTCTAATTACATGAGGAAAATACATATTTGGCTTGTGATTAATTTGGTCCAATAATTATCACAGCATCGATATTTCTGCTAATATCATTATAGTTTGCATCAGTAAGCTGCAATCCTATATAAACTCAGCTGGAGATAAAATACGTTGAATTCAGTGCCATTTACCTGAGAGCAAATTCTAAAAAGACTGTGCTATTAATAAAAAAATTAAAGAGGGTATGACAAGGTGAGAATAAAACTGATGTATCCTGTTTCCCCGAAAACAGTATAAGACCTAACCTGAAAATAAGCCCTAGACTGATGTACCCTGTTTCCGCGAATATAAGACCTAACCTGAAAATAAGCCGTAGTATGATTTTTCAGGATGGTCATGACATAAACCTTACCCCCCAAATAAGCCCCAGTTAAGTGAAACCCCACCCTCCACCCTTGTGCAGCAACCAGAAGAAGATGGTGTGACTGTATTTGGATAAATGTAGATTGTTGTACCTTAAACAATTAAAACATCCCCTGAAAATAAGCCCTAATGTGTTTTTTGGAGCAAAAAGTAATATAATACCCTGTCTTATTTTCTGGGAAACACAATATTGTTTTCACACAGAATGACAGTTGCACTAATATTTAAAAAAGTAGTACAATCTTGTGCAACTTTACTTAGAAATAACTCCCCTTTTGATCAATGAGACTTCTCATTAAACAAGCAGAGAACTGCAGCCTTAAGGTATGTTTATTTCAATTGTTTGGTGAGGTGCTTCTTGGTAATATTGATTAATGTATAATATGTTATCTGTTCAGAGCTGGCTGGATAACTAAGTTTTTAAAGTATCCAGTTGCAGAGCCAGAGGTTGGGAGTTCAATTCCCCCACTGTGCCTCCTGGGAGGAGAACCAGCCTGTGTGGCCTTGGGCAAAAGCTGCACAGTCCCAGGGCACCCCCGGAAGAAGGGGATGGCAACCCCCTCTGAGTATTCTTTATCTAGAAAACCCTGGAAAGTTCACCATAGGTTGGAATCAACTTGGCGACATATGTTTATATTATTATTAGAGGTGGGGTATATGTATACGAATATGAATATCCCTGCACAGCTGGAATTAATGAAGGTCCGCCCCCTGGGGCTGTACCGTCCACTCACACGTCCCGTGGCAGTCTCACTCATTCTTCCAATCACTCTTGGAGCCCCACTCTCTTCCTGATTGGCTAGCCAGTTCAGGCCAGTGGAGGGAGGACAGGCCCCCCTGCACAGGAAGGGAGCAGGGCTCCAGGAGTGACTGGAAGGATGAGTGAGGCCGCCACTGGACGTGCGAGTGGATGGTCCAGCCCCAGGGGGTGAACCCTCGTTAACCCCCACTGCGCAGGGGTATCTGTATACAAATACCCCCATCTCTAATTATTATATGTTATGCAGTTACATTGTTCCAAAATTTTCTTTCAGAACCCTGGTGAAAATCTAGGGATAAATTTATAGGGAAATAGGGTTGGCACATGATTAAATCTGCAATACCTCAGAGCCATAGAGATAAGCACAGGGAATCGATAGTATTATGCAGCCCAGATGACACACATTTCGGGAAAGTCCCAATCCCATTTAGAGGAAAAGAGCTGTGAAGATATCATTTCCCGTTATTTTGTGGGATCTGAAAGTGCATAGTCAGCCATTTTACCTACACACCTTAAAAATGTAGGCAAATGGAAGGGTATGTAGCCCTTTAAAAGTTGCTGTTTTCTTTGTTCACCATTCTTCCATCGTTTGCAGCTGGAAAATAAGAAAAAGCTTTTTCTACTTGGCATAAACATAGAGCACAATGTACAGATCTCATGGGGGAAAAAGTCACTGGCCGAAATCCTGTTTCTTATTTCTGCCGGCACACCAGGAATGATGTCACTGGCAAGAGCAGACCGCCACTAATTAAAGAGCCCCTGCTTTGATATCAGGTTGGGTGCAGCTTTGGCTCATGGTCCATCAGCTGCAGACCATCTAAAATTAAAGCACAGACGGTTGAATGAGCAGCAATCTGCAACTACTGGTGATGCTGTTCTTGCTAGGCTGGCAGAGCTACGCCACCAATAATCTGTGAAAGTCCAACTCAGAAAACACATAATAAACAATTACAGGTCAGACATTTTGCAATTCTGGTCCACGTGCCAGAAGTAGTTTATAGATAAATGTAACTCTGGAAGTCACGTATGCCCACCTCTGGATTTTGGTGGCCCAATCTGTTGTTCCCCCCCCTCCAGTCACAGGGCTTTCTTTATAGAAACAAGATGGGTTTTTTTTCCTTTTCTTTTCTGACTGAAAGACCTCTTGCACCATCTACTGGCCAACAATAAAATAAAAATAAAAGGATTGAGGGTGCCAAGGGTGATGGAGTGGTATGGGCCCCTCATAAAACTTACTTATTTGTTTAAAATATTTTTACCTTGCTTTCTTCTTAAAAAGGACGCAAGGTGACTTGCAGCCTTGAAAGACAATGTTTAAAGCTGAAAACAACGAGTATACAACGGTGGTTTGCACCATTAAAAGACAATATTTAAAGCTAAGATCAATGAGTGTAGAAGGCAGCTTATATCCTTAAAGGACAATATTAAAGTTAAAACAATAACTATGCAAAGACTAAAAAGGAACAAATACCCCTGTGAGAAATGGTAAACACAAGCAGTACCAAGGGCCCAGTCAGAGCAGCAGCGCATAGCAATCCATCTAAAAGTCACTCATGTAACCAGCCATATAGCCAGTCACTCATGCAGGCAAGCACAGAGACGGCAGAATTTGCTATAGCAAATTCTGCCCTTTGTGATGTGAAAGTTTGGCCTCCTTTTTCCTGCTGGCAATGCGGCCACAATATGGTGCAGGCATATTGGGCCATTTCCTGGCGTGTTGAATCATGGATACAGAAGCACAATATCGTACTCTATATTCATAAACTGGATGTGGTTTCTTTGTTTGGTGTTTTTATTGTTCTATTTTTTAAAGAATTGAATTGTCCTGCAATGGTAAATGGTATTCTGCTTACTCCCTGCAAACTAGAACAGGCCCCAAAATGAAAAAGGGTGCTGCCAATGGAGGAGAGGGACTGTTATTACAGGCTTGAAATTCCTGACATGCCTACCTTCTTTGACTGGTGACATCTCCCCAAGGAAATAACTCTATTGGCTGAGAATCTCTGATTTGGTACAGGCAATTTCTGTATGGAGTATAAACCTGATTTGAAAGGACTGTAAGCCTGTACAAGGCTGAATCAGTTCCCAATGCTCATGGATGAAAAGGATGCAGGACACAATTTGCACTTGTAGGACAATTCAATTCTTCAAAAGAAAAAGAAAAGAAGAAGAAGAAGAAGAAGAAGAAGAAGAAGTTTAAGCTCACTTGTTTCTGAATGGACAGGGGGTGGGGTAAAACAGTTTTACTTCAAAAAAATCCATAACTTGAAAACCCTGTGCCCAAACGACCCCACATTTGGCACATACATAGCAAGAGAGGACTTTCTGCTACATCTGTGCCAAATTTGGTATTGATCCAAAGTCCAGTTTCAAAGGTATTGGGTGTTTCTTTTTGATTGGGCTGCCCCCATTTTTAGAATTGCTCTGTAGAATGTTGCCTTGCTTTGTTGCACACTAACATCGCTGCACTCTTCCTGCACTGATAATTTCTTCATAGGGAGTATTGCCAGCCAAACCTGGTGTGTTGTTTTGTTGTTTTATAGCTCACATGCACAGTTAGCCTAGCACTCCTGAGGAACAGTTGAGAAGCGCATTTTCATGTGTCCCTGGACTTGTTCCTACAATCAGAATGATCCTGCAGCTTCTTTTAACAATGTGCTAAAAAAATAAATACATGCTGGGGTTGCATCCAGGCTTCTTCCTTCCCTCAGATGATGTCCCAGGTAGGCCCAAAGGATCTTTAATTATCTCAGATCTAAGATGGGAGATAAAGTTTTACCCCTTCTATTTCCTGCAACAATGCCAACTTGAGAGTATGTAACAGCTCCTAACTGCCTTCTTGAGATGGGGGACACAGTGCTGTGCTTTGTGGCCAGTCACCCCTTACCTTTTAGGCATAGAGAACCTTTCCTTCTGCTACACCTGAGCAAAGGCCTTTATGTGGTATCCTTGGAGACAAGTATTAACAACAAGATGGCGGAATGCCCTTGTGATTGGCTGAAGGAACAAATGACTGTTCCATTCCACAAAAAACCTGCAGCGGGAATAACTTAAGTGAAGGGACTGTCTTCTACTGTTGTTCTGTAAGATAGGGATGAGCAATTGTGCCTCTTCAGATGCTTTTTAGACAACCCAACACCACCATAATCCCTCACCACTGGCTACATTGGCTAGGACGCAGGAGGGCTGACAAAACAAATGTTGCTGTCTAAGGCAAAGTACAAAACTCTGTTCCCTGTATTCGAGGCTGAAAAACATCCAGAGGGCCACAGTTCCCACCAACAATATAAGGGAAACTACAGTTCTGATCAATGAGCAATCAATAAAGAATGCAGGAAGAGAGCTGTTGTCTGCTCAGCTCTACAAGTGGCAATCTACAGCATGGCGAGGGCAAGGGGCAGTGGTGCTGCAAGTGTGAAAGAAGCACACCTGTAGCTGGGCATGCCAAGCCGCTAGCTGCCATGATACGATTCTATGGAGCAAGGTATGGTTGTGTGAACTTCATTCCTTTAGATTCAGAAGCACAAGACGGAGATTGCTGCAGATTCTTTCCACCTATGGGCTGACAAAACAAATGTTGCTGTCTAACGCAAAGTACAAAACTCTGTTCCCTGTATTCTACAGCAGCCTTGACATTATCATTAGGGATGAGGCAGCATCCTCTGTCCCAGCTGAGAGTGCCATCCTGATGAGAACATAGCAACTCCATTCACGAACACAGAAGAATGGCCAAGGGGTTGCGACTGAAGTCTCCCTCCACACCACCTGCCTTGTTTCACTCTGCCTAATGACAGAGGCAGCCTTTCTATATCTTTCAACACAGGCTGCTCTTGGAAATTGCCTAGAAAGAAGCCACAGTGTCTCAAAACCTGGAAGGGACCTGGAGAAGTCACAGTGTCCTTCAGCAGCAAGATGGCTACTCTGAGAAGGACTCCTCTACACATGGCAAGAGGATGGGCACTCTGATCGGATGGCCAGAGTTTCACAAGGGTAAAAGGCAGATGGGAATCCCCATCACCATAAGGATGAAAATTGAAGATAAACTGTAAGTTTTGCTGAGCGTAAGTAGGGGATGAGGGATTTTGATATCCATGAGAGTTTCTCTTGTGAAGTTATGGTCATTACATTGTGTAGCTATGCCTTTGTTATAAGGAAAAGGACCAAATTACAACTAATTAATTATTTTTAACTAGCTACATCTGAACTCTGATTTTTCTCTTTACTCATGGGACTGCATAGATGACATGGATTGCGGTATGCATGTGGCAGGGGGCCTATGTTAAAAATCTGTACAGCTTCCACCCCAAGGCTATTTGGGTCCTGACTGCATTTATTTATATCCAGGTTCTCCCAGGACCTGAGGTCTAATATCTGTCTCCTTTTCAATCTGGGTATATGCCATGGGAAGATGCTGTTTATACCAAGACATGCAGCACAGTCTAATTCAGTCCAAATGTCACATTATACGTCTAGTAAAGTGGCTTGGGACAATAGAAGCTGCATTATGAATCAGAGACATAGGATCAACAAATGCAAGGTTACTTAAAATCTACATATCCTTTCCTTGTCATTAAAAAGCAAATAAGAAGAAGGAATAGCACGGGGGCCTGATCCAGATTGGGAATGTAACCTGTGGGGTGGGGAGTTTTTTGTGCTGAAAATCAATACATGCACACCCAAAGCAGCTATTTGCTGCTGTTAGCAGCATCAGGAACAAGTCATTCTTTCACCAGGGAAAAGAGAGGGATTTTTGCTAGTAAAAAAACAGCATGACTGGAAAAGATGAAACCTCACGTCAGCTGATTTGAGGACAGATTGGCGTCTGTCTGTAGCTGCTTTTAGTCTTCTAAAATGTTGGAAATCTCATAACATGGAATGGAAAGAGACATTTGAAATAATACATGGTTTGACCCTTACTCTAGCAGCTGCTATCTTTGGGAACTTTGGGTCCCCCCCCCCCGAAGGCATATGAACAGGTCTTCTGGCGACCTTTAGGCATAGCAATGTAGGTTGTAAATCCAGCCTATTCCTAAGTGCAATTGGTGCATTCCATACAAGCAGTTTCATTAATTTAGTCACAAATGCAAGATGGCAGCTGTGAGTTTAAACTTCATTAGTTGTGCTGCTCTTGAAAAAAACAACAACCCACAAACAAACAGGTGATCATCTTCTCAGCTCCACCTTGTAAAGCAAACAAATCAAAAACCCTGGCCTCTGAAGATCACTTTCTTGGGGCCACTTCCCTGCTTATATCTGTGTACAGCCATCTAGTTCACATACCCACTGGTACGCTGGAAGTACCAGGTGGAAGAACCCGAAGAGATGAAGCAGGTCTCTGAGGAACCCTCAAGATCTTGATAAGCATTGTAGAACAGCTGTTGTGTCTGGCTTTGCTTGACTAGAACTCTTTCTTCCCAGGCCGAAGTAATTATTACTATTATTTGCTTAGTTTCCCATTAATTGAGTAGAGTGGTGCATCACTAGACGATGATAATCTGTGAACTAATTATTACTATTATTTGCTTAATTTCCCTTTAATTGAGTATAGTGGTGCCTCGCTAGACGATAATCCATTCCACTGAAATTGCTGTTTAGCGAAATCATTGTCTAGTGAAAAGCATTTCCCCATTGGAATGCATTGAAACCTGTTTAGTGAGTTCCAATGGGGAAGAATCGTCGTTGTCTAGCAAAGATCGGCCATAGGAAAGCCGCTTTGCGAACCGCCAATCAGCTGTTTAAATTGCTGTCCCTCCGCACTTGAAAACACCTGTTTTGCGAGTGCGGAGGGAGCTGTCAAAATTGTCATCTAGCGAAAATCGGTTTCCGAAGCAGGGACCAAACGTTGTCCAGCGAAATTCCCCCATAGGAATCACTGTTTTGTGAATCACTATAGCGATCGCAAAAAGTCAATGTCTAGCAAAAAAACTGTCATGCGGGGTAACTGTCTAGCGAGGCACCACTGTAATGTATTGCATGAGCCACCAATCAAATACATTAATCAGTTCATCAATTATTTCAGCCTCAAATGAAATGGGTTTTAACTTTTAACTATGGAAATGTTTTATGTACCTGGCACCATTCCTCCAAGATGGAACAAAAGCAGTGTGAATTCCCAAGCAATTTTCCATCAAGACACAGACCAGACTGTTAAAATGCTACAACCCCAAGGTTACTACTTCATAGAGGTTCCAGTTATAGTCTAGGAACTTTTACCCTTCGCCATCTGAAATCCTGCACTGTCACCTGGGCAGTCCTTCTATTCTCTTTGGAATATACAGTAATCATACTTGCATGAATCCAGTTGGTTGGGCTTCCTAGAATCAATGAAAAGTAAGCAAGTGTCGAGTCACCATCAGCAATTGATTTAATGGGTTGCCTCCAGTTAAGACAAATCATCGGATTCAGGCAATTTGTTTTTCAGTTTGGAACCATCAAAATATAAGGAATTAGCAAGAGAGGTAGAAAGATAATGCAACTTTATAATAGAAGATGACATGACATCAATAAAATACACAATACAGCATTAAATGAAAAGTAATTATTTTCTACATTGTAACAGAGCAAACAAAGGAAAAATGTTTACACTTGTAAATATTGATTTGCAGATTATAAAAATCAAGATCCTACCCCCATACACACATCATTTTATGCACAAAGAAAGGGGGAAGGACTTAAGCAAGGTTCACACTAGAGCTGAGAGACAGAGGGATACTTCTCATACTCAGTTCTGGTAGCAACAGAAAGCATCCCTGCTTCAGTAATTTATTACTAGAGTTCCATTGAAAGGGTCCTCAAAGCAACACAGGAAGGGGAAAACAAAACAAGTTGGAAAGAAGAAGAAAAAAGAGAAGAGGTATATTTATGTAATCATGGCTGCTGCCATATAGCTACTTAGCTGGGAATTAAGTCCTATTTAATTCAGCAGCTTTACCTCTGAGTATCTAAATCTACAATTACACTCTTATAAATCCAGCTGCCAATAGGTCTCTCTCTCTCTCTCTCTCAACTAAAAATCAAAATGTTTGATACAACCCTTAGATAGTCCTGACACAGCCATGAAAACAGTTGGGGAACCCAAAATAATACAAACACTTTGTTGCAAATGGCAGTGTACATTCCAGACTTAAAATGTTCTTTTTATATAAAGAGCACAAAAGGAAACTGGCAAATGGCTCTAGAATGTGGGTAAAATTAAGCTAACAAGGTACTACTAATAATAACACTAATAATAAGAAGAATGATGATGCTTTTCATTGGCTGGCAAAGGAGGCGAATTGCCTTCAATGGCAAGCCTGGATGCTGCTGCTCACATAATACAAAGGGGAGGTTTTTTTCCTCCATCTTCTCCCTGCACTGCCACTGAGGCATATGGAAGGCTTACGACTAGCCTCTCACACATACTGCTGCTCACCCTGAGATTTTTCTTTCCTGAGACTCCAGATGGTGCCCTGAGATCTGCAACCGTATTATTCACATATTAATTAAAATATTATTCATATCCCCACACTGTATCCAAGGTTCTAAAAGCAATCAGCAATAACACACCACTATACAATTTTAAACAATCTAGCACTGTTTCAAAAATTTAAAATAGCATGTACACTACTGTTGCTCAGCTGTGCAATGAAAAAAATGAGGTGAATGATAAATTCCATTTAAACATTATCGCTAAAAAAACCTCATAAACCTCACAGCCAGACATTACAATATGACCAAATGAGGTGCTCCTTTTGCATCACAAGTACTAATATATTCTAATATATTACTTCCAATTGGGAATGGATCCTTTCTCATCTAATGACACAGTAAGAACAATGGGCTTATTATTGGGCAGTCTTTTTGCTGAATACAGCTTTTTTTCAGATGTACAAACGGTGTCCACCATTCACAGCTTCTTAATATTTGCGTGTACAAAGCAAGAAGCAGAGAAGAG